AAAAAGTGTTGGCCTTGGGGCAATGAAAGAGCTGGCAACTGCAGATGGAGGGAGACGTAACACTCCACATTCCTACAGACTCTCACACACCTTGTCTTTGGCCGCTGCTTTCTATAAGTAAGTGATTGACTCCGAAGGAAAGAGCCTTTAAAGGAGAGACTGCCGACCTCTGATTATGTGGAACTATAAACGTAAAGATAAACGTATGAACAAACAAATGATGGCATGCAGAAACAGGGAGGATTAGCTACACGTCTGGGAGCTGTCTCGTTGTCTTGTTGTGTGGTAACCCCTTAACACAACCTGGCAGACTAATCCACTGTCACAGTGTGTGTGTGTTCAAGTACCTGCTTTACACATTACCTAAATTGGTACTGGTTTTCAGGGACCAAAATACTAATACATAGTACTAATCAGACAACCCCCTTGTTTGTGATGTAATACTTTAAACTTGGATGAAAATGTCAATAGTGGGGATGTAAGGGTGGAGGCATAAATGGTGTATGAATTATAACAAGTGAATGCATAGTTCTTCAGGGGTGCCCCGCCCTGCTTTGGGAACCACTGGGACATATAACACTGACATTAACTGGTTATCCAACTAGTCTGTGGTGTTAAGTTTTTTAAGTTGTCATTAAAAATAGAAATGAACTGCACTGTAGAAGTACACACCATGTAACATTCATGGATTGGGTTAAAAAAGTTTGTGCATTTCTTTCTTCCTCCATTCATGCATTCATTCAGCCGTTTGTTCATCTTCGACCCCTCTTTTGTGTCTCTGTAATCCACTGCTCATCACACATCACCAGTTTGTGTCTGGGAACTGTCTGCCGTATGATATCTTTAAAACCAGTTTTGAAACGGAGCATCAACGTGAGACAGGGAGTGAGAGTGAGTCACAGTCAGACACATAACAGGGTGAATCAATGGAAAGCAAAATGTAAAAAAAAAGAAACAAAAGGCACATTAGTCAGGAGTTAATCTTCCCTTTTACCAGTGTTCACTGGAATTTAGCAGAAACCTACTCTCAAACATATCTCAGAGGCAAATTAGATTTAAACAGAAGCTCAGCAGGGAATCAGCGGGAAACACAATCCCTTACCTACTATGTTTATATTATTCCTATGTGCTGTATGAAGAGGAAGCAGTTGTTAGCACAGGTAGATGTCATGTCATCATATCATCAGGTCTACATCAGCTCCATGTCTGGAGTGTTCTAAAACTGAAGAACTCACCACAGCATGAGTCAAAGTCTGAGTTAATGTGTAACTGCCAAAGTGTGACAACTCTAACGATAGCTTTATGAGAACAACTGCATTTATCACAAAACAACCAGAGTCAACACAGGCCACAAAACTATATTGATTTTCCATTTATCCGTCTGTTATCCTGCTTTGTTTACAAGCATAAAACAGCAGAAAGAAGTCATTAGGTGAGATAACGAAGCTTCCTGTGATTCCTCCCCAGTCTGTTGAGGACCTTACCACAGATGGCCACTGCTCTGAGAGGGGATCGATCATTTGTGACAGGACTCAACACCCTTATTACCATAAACAAAGCCATGTGTTCAGGAGACACCACTCACTCCTCCCGCTCCTTTCATTAAACAAATTGTGACAATTCCTTTTGGACCTGACTGACATTTAACTCTGCGAACACTCCATCATATCAGCAGGTTGCAAAACTTAGCGACAGCTGCTAAATTTACCTTACTTGCACTTAATGTTTGTTATTTCACTACTGTCTAGAGCACAGGTCATATACTGGGGAACATATATAGTGCATATCAGGCTTTTCTTGTTCGGGCAGCAACCTCTAGCTACAGAAATAGGAAGAAAATAATTAGTTATACATACTTAATTTATCAGTTATGACAACACAGCAACATCAGCGACACCGTCTGAGTTATATAGAGAACATCTTGACATCACAGCTACACATTTCACTTCTTTTATTATTGAGTAAATTACTTTCAAAAGAACTTTTGTGTCATTGTGTCATTGTGATGTTATGTTAGTCACTATATGTGTTAATATTCTATTTCCAGGCCTTTTCTTTTCAGTTTAAGTAAACTAGAAGTTGTCAAGTGCCTAGAAGTGTGGATAAAAGTAAAGATGACTTTCTTGTATGCTCACAACCCAAGACCTCCTGTTGAGATACCTGCTGTTCACAACATTTCACACTTTCATTCCCACAACATCCATTGATTTTATGGGTTAAAGTTTTAAGTTATCCTCGACCACACACAGCAACCATTTCTATACATTTAACCATCTCTATAAACATTTTTTAGTTTTCTGTGTCATCAAATAACCCCCAAAACTAGGTCCTGACACTCGGGTGTTAATCTGTGATTTATGACACAGTTTCAAAGATGGGGGATAATGACCCAAAAGTGGGTCATGGGGCTATTTTGAATGCCCCCAGATTAATGCAAAGCAAAGAGCTCTGTTTTCTTTGTTCTACTGTTGTTGGATTTGTTTTAATAACATTGAGGGACAGTGTAACTATACTATTAATTTATTTTTTTTATAAAAACGATTATTTAGGTCTTACTCATAAATTGAAATGGGGTTTCAGGTATTAAAATGTTAAGTACATTCTCTATTTAAAGGTACTGGTTATTAATTAATTTAAAGGTTTACTACAGTAGTGGTACTACAGTAGTATAAAGTGTGCGGTGATCACTTACTCTTAGCTCAGTGGATCTTGGACAGGACCGCTAGAAAAGCACAGGTTCACTCACGTGTACTGTGTGTGGCGCACACTTACGGATTTTGACTTTCTTTGGATCCAACTTTCGAACTTCATCCTGTAGAAAGTGCAGTCGACCTTGAATCCGACAGGATCTCCTCCACACTGTGCCTGCCTCCATCTCGATGCCCAGGAAGATGTCGCTGGCATGTCGTGAAAGGTCCGAAAGCTGGTGGATGAAGTTGATCAGAGTGTGACAGCAAACCTCATCCAGGGACGAGTACAAAACTTGTTTTCGCAGCTTGCGTCTCCTCCCGGCTTCCTCCCCCGGTATCCAGCAGCCGTCCCTGGCTGATAACCTGCTCACCCGCCGCGGCTCGACGCTCCTCTGATGGAAGGGCATTTTTGCTTTTTTTAAAATATGTTTATTTCATAACAACGACTTGTGCTTCCGCAAAGTGTATACTGAAAAAATCCCAGATTTAAAACAATCGCCATTCGCACTGTCGGCTTCCAGTTTCCGACAATTGTGAAGAAATAAAATCCTCCAGTCCCGCCATATCTTTGTGCTAAAGCCTGTGACTTTGTCCTGATGCTGGTACTGTTGTTGTACACGGAGCGGAGACGTTACCTCCTGAAGTGTGTTCAAATTCAAGCAGACACTGAAGCGAGAGCAGAAGAAGAAAAAAAACAAGGAAAAGTAAAGGGAAAAGTACAGTGCAAAACCTGGAAAATACTACAGCCACCTGTAGCTACTGGAACTGGAGCCACATTCACCCTGTTACCTGCCTCCATTTGTAGACAGCGGACTTATGGAAAACAAGGACTGGATTTCACAAAAACTGCACTGGCAGCTAAACGCTATCGTTCGACCGTAAAACTATTAAATACCGGGGCAAATTCTGATTTCCCATCAGAATTCTGACACTTTTAATTGTTATATATATATATTAAAAGAAGCTTTTAAATAGATATATATTATTTGTACCTTAAAATAGTCATATAACATAAAAGGCAACCGTAAATTACCAAAGACATGGCTAATCATTAGCTAAAATATGGCTATAAGTTATAAGATATGGCTATAAACTATTGGCAAATTTCTAGAAATGACCTATCATCTCGGTTCTAACAATTTAATCAAACATTAACATTAAAGTAAATGCATAGTTGTCATTACTGCAGTAATTTTGAAAAGTACTGGCAAACCGTTACAACAACCAGACTACAGTTAATCACGTTTTGGTCTTGTAGTGATTTCCTCATGTCTCCTAAAGCCCATGTGGACAACACACCGTCTGAAAACTTGTGATTTATCTCCTTTCCGCCTGTTTGTCCAAAGCCATGTGTCCAGTGGCTCTCCGTCAGTCCCACCCTCACATTCCCACTGAACCACATTCCCAACACCAATAAATAACTGATTCGGCACTGCTTTAAAATACTATAGTCGAATCTCTGTGACGTATAGATGGCGCTATGCGCCCTCTGGTGTTCTGATATAAACCAGAGGTGGAAAAAAAAATCAAGGTTGCCTTTTTATCAGTTCCTGTGTTTTCATGGTCATTGCTCTTATTTCTCAAATAAACAGAGAGCTCCAAATTCCTGACCTGCTGATATTTGATCAGTTTTTCAGGTGATTACACAACACACCCTCGAGTCAGGTGCTGATAGAGATTCAGTTCCTCTACACTGAACGTTGTGGTAAATCACACATCACAAGATAAACATCTAGGTTAAAGTGTATCCTCCTGCTGATGTGCATGAGGAGCATCTGGAGGAGGAGCATCACCAAAGAAGTGACTAATTACACCCACATAAACGTTCAGCACCCCTTCAGGCCATAAATCAGTGGCAAGAATTACAGCAAAAATGCAACAATCATCAAGAGGATCTTACAGTGAGGGAATTTTCAGAGAATTCACAAGGAGTACAAATCCCATGGGACACAGTGAAGTGTACCAGCTGTTACCATGAACCTGCCCTGAACAGAAAAAAAATTTCAATTTTTTTTACATTGAGTCCTAAATGCATTTTTGTCTCCTGAGACAATAGGTGTTTGTTTTTTTTACTTTTGATCAGGTTTAGCCAAATTATAATATGAACAGCTTATGCATTACAGTTAGTTCATTTTTCATTTCTCCCTCTGAAAGATTTGGTTTGTTCTCAGTTTAAATGTTCACATTACATCTTACTTAAGACAAAAAAAATTAAATAAACAGATGTCATTATTAAAAAAGACATATGAACATTTAAAAACGTTCATCTCAATTGATAACATAAAATGCACAAGTACATAACGCGTCCAGTTTTAGACATAAACAAAAGTTTAATCAAGATTAAATAGATATATATATCCCCCAAACAATCAAATCCTGCAAATCAGAAGAGAATCAAACATGTCCACGTAATACAAAACAACAAGTTTCCTCTTCATCGAGTTAACAGACTCTTACAAGTCTGTTGTTTTTTTGTTTTGTTTTTTTACCTCTTATGAATTCTGGACTCTCATTCAGTGTAAAATGCATACACATCTCATCCACCACATGTTACAGTGCATTTATTCTCAACACAATAGCCTTCTTCCAGGTTTAAAAATTCACACATAAACTTAAATTTTGAAGAATTATTTACATACAAGGCCCAAAAAGATCAACCAAACCATTCTGGGTGAGCAATTAGAAAGGTAAGAAAAAGAAAACGTCACACATCAGGACAATAGGGACCTTCCTTAATAACATTCTTACAAAAAAAAAAACAACAAACAAATCACTGAATAGACAAGAGGTGCGATCAGCCTGCAGTTACATAAAAAGACAATCAGGACAGTGGGTGAGAAGCCAAGGTGATAGATTTCCCCTCTGTACGCCTGTCAATCTATTTTTTACAAGCAGACATACATGTAAAAAAAAAAAAAAATTTACAAATACAGTGTGATCGTTTGAAAGCAAAGGTATTTGTTTCGTGACCACAAGACTGCCCATAATGCACTGGGGTAGAACCTGAAGCACACTTTCCAGATGTTTCACAGCATGAAAATTATGCAGCAAAAAACATTTTGAAAAATGCAAAATTGAGATGTCACAACTGAGTTAGTAAGCAACCACTTCACCAGAGACAACATAAGTCGATATCAATTCTGTTTATTCACAATACAGTGTTGAGGTGACAGAATAAAGAAGAAAATAAGACAGAATCCCAGAATAATGTCATGTTTTTAATCACTATAATGATGTTACAGTGTGTGTGTAACCTACATGATATTAAATATTTATTATTTATAATATCATTCAGTTGGACTGGGTGGGGAAAAAAATCCCAGCAAGAGACAGTGCCGTAGTACAAATCTCTTTTCTTAAAGTTTTTCTGCTGATTACACTGCAGGAAAGCAATGGGCTGACTTTGTGAAAGTAGAATAAATTAAAAGACAAGAAAAACAATTTGAGTACAGAGGGACAAAAGAAATCTACTATGCAATATGTTTCTCACCTTTTAGTCACCATCAGACGTTTAACTTTTACGTAACCAAAACTCCTATTTAAATCAGCTTCCCCCAATCATTTTTCCCATCATTCTTTTTTAATTGTATAAATGTAAAAAAAAAAGAAAAAGTTTCTGTAGGAGGAAAAAAACTACAACTGTGACCCTGTAAGTTCTTCATATATTCATGGTAGGTGAGAAGAAAAACAACAAAAGGATGAGTACATTTGTGTTTACCTGTCTATGAAGGTGTAACTAAGATTCAGCAAAGACCAGGTTCTCCTTATCAAACTTGGGTATTGTGTTATTAAGTATTTTTTTCTATACACCTTAATTTTCTCAGTGTCTGCCATTTCATTTGGATAAAGCACTGCTCTGTCCTTCAAACAGGAAAGGTTTGGCTCACAGAGCCCTGGAATTTCATGGTTTCCTTTCAGAGATTTCAAAACATCACCTGGAGGGGGTTGAAAAAAGCAGCCTCAAGGCCGTGTTGAACAGTGTGGGGCCTGGAAGGTGACATGGGGGAGCACAGGGTGAAAAGTGGGAAAAATATTAAAGTAAAGTCTATCATCTTGGTCTAAATGAGCGCAGCGAGGACAGGTGGTGGATGTTGAACTGGATTTACCTTTCCCCGTGATGGGCCATAGCATGAATGGATCTTGGGACACGTGTGCACAAACATACAAAGTGAATGTCTAGACGAGGGCTCCGCATGTGCCGCTTTGTCTCCCTCTTGTGGTTTGTCCAGAATTAATCCAATATTATATTTTCTTCACACATACAAACAGACTGCCATCATCTATCTCTCACACACACACGCACACATATATGCATGACCACACACACTACTTGGCTCCCCCCGTGTCTGTGTTCAGGCTTATCTGGTGTAGTAGACTCTGTAGTAAACACTCTTGGAGCGCCAGAGTGAATAGGAGTTGTCAAACTTGAGCAGGTAGACGCCACGACCTGGGTACTGGTGGCTGCCTGCGTACACCTCCTCGTGACAGTCCCGCCGGTACACTGGCACAATCTCATCCACCTGTGGCTTTCCTGTCTCCTTCTTTGCCTTCTCCTCCTCGTTAGGAGGATCACCTGTGGAGACGAGAACAGTGCATCAGTGTGGGAAAGACGCAGCTGGCGACACTGTGTGCCGGAGAAACTATAAAATAATTATTTTTCTAATTGCACAGAAAAAAAATAAACATAAATGTCAAAATTATTAAGTACTTGTTTACTGAACCTGGGCACAAACAGATAATATCTCCACACAAAAATGCTCTAGACCCCGTCTGTTGTCTGTACCCATTATTTTGCATTGCAAAGTTTCATTCAGATGCGGTGACAGTGAAACCCATTATTGTTGGATTATTGCGTCACTTGTGGCGATCCACATCTCACCTTCATCTTCCTCTTCCTCGTCACTGGACTCCGACACATGCACACTGACTGAAGCGGAAGATGCATCCGTCCACTCAAAGAAGACTCCGAAGCCGACGTCATAATAGTCTGTGGCAAACTCCCAGAACAGGTAGGAGCCCTCCTCGTGGGTGGGAACCCTCACAGTGACCACCTCGCCACGCCCCACCGTGATCACACTGTCAGCATCCTGTCGGATTTTCTCTTTGAAGTCCTTGATCTGTGGTCGTGTCCACATAGAGGGAGCAGCGATGACCGGTGGGTTATCTGCCAGAATTAAGAAAAATAATTATTTTATTTCCTTTGGTTATTTTATTTTCCAGTGTCAAAGCTATTTGTTTTTTTATATTTGTTTAACCATCTTGTTATTGTTACTATCAAGGATGCAAATGCAAGGACACACATAAGAACCAGGTTTCAAATTCAGGATAATTTCAGTTGAGTGATACTGGCTTTTCCCTTGACCAACCTAATAATGGTCCGTTCTCTGAGACCTCCTCTGCAGTCTCGGGCTCGTGTTCCCGCTCCATGCTCTCAGAGTAGGAATCTGACTGGCCTCCATTGACTGTGGGGAAATCCTCGCCACCAGGTGGCAGACCTGAACACAGCTGGCCCAGTGCTGTAGCCATTACAGCATTGCCACTGTTCAAGTTGCTAGAATCCATAGAGTCAGTCTGCTGCTGCTTCTGTAAGGCTGCCTGGAATGAAGAGGATGACGACATCATAAAGTTAAAACATGAAAAAATACAAACGGGAAATTAAAACACATCTGAACACTTCCTCAAGTACCAAATTGGACAGCTAAGAAGATGTTTTAGAATCTGCAAAAATCAGGAAATTTGTCTCAAAATAATCTGTTTTAATTTCACCCATTTTGTGGATTAGAAAAGCTGGTGAAATCAATGCTTTCTTTAGCATGGGCGGATTTTTATTGTTTGTACTACAATTGTACTACAATACACAGTCAATGTTATTATACTTGATATTTATTTGCAAAAACGTAGCACAGAATGTCTCCTAAAAAGTACATGAGGAGGACTGACTGTGAGGTGTCGGTTCTACCTGTTGCTGGGCCAGCTGGACCTGGTAGAGCTGCTGCATGTACTGTTGGTAGTGCTGCTCTTGGAGTTGGCGGATGAGGCTCAGTTGCTGCTCTGGGCTGTTGGGGTACTGCTGAGCAGCATACTGCTGGAACTGAACTGCTGTCTGGGCATTCAGTGCTGCCATTATTTGTTGTCTGAGAAAAAATAGCAGGGGTGTTTTTGAGGACAGAATTATAAGACACTGGGGCTGAGGGGAACGCTGACATGTCAGTTTATAAAGACTGTTACAGGATCAGGAAGAGGCTTTGACAAACTGTAGTAAACACTTACAATAAATGTAGTAACACAGAAGTTAAATAAAACTTCAAGTACATTCCTTGAACATAGACACACTGCGAGACACACATACTTCTGCTGCTCAATCCGTAGCCTCTCCTCCTCCGCCTGTCTCCTCTCCTCCTCCTCTCTCCTCAGGCGTTCCTCCTCTTCCAGCCGCCGTCTCTCCTCCTCTAGCCTCTGTCGCTCTCTCTCCTCTTCTTCCCTCCTAAGGCGCTCCTCTTCCTCTTTCCTGTAGTAAAAAATAGGGCTTTCATGTAAGAAAGGTTGCAGCTAATGAAAAAAAAAATCCACAATAACGTGTAAATGTACAACATTCACCCTGACGCCTCACAGTTTCCTGGCCTCATTTAGGACAAACCAGCTGAAGCATCTTCCACATTACCTTTTCCTTTCCTGCTCCTCCTTCTCTATTTTGTGGGAGATGATGTAGGGAGCAAACAGGTTACAGCACTTGTTAAGGAGTTTGACAAACTCCACCATTGCATCCTCCTTCTCCATGTTGCCCAAGGAGGCCCACTCTTTACTGCACACCGGTCGAACT